GGGCGGGGACGCGTAGACGGGGAGAGGGAAAGGGTCCGGTTTCCTTAGAGGCAGACCCTGCGGGCGGAGCGCCGTCGCTTCAGGGCTTGGTTCGCTCAGGAGCCCGGGGCAAGCCCGAAGCCCTAAGAGGTTGGCCTCTTGCCGGATCCGCCTGGCCTCTCCGCCATAAGGATGCTCATAAGCCCCTCTCCCTCTTGTCCTCCATCCCCCCACCACCACTTTGATGTCACTTCAGGCGTCGGGGGGGTAGCAAGATTCACCAAAGAATTCACGAGGTCTGATCATGAAATGGGGGGGGGGGCAGTAGTAATTTATTCAATAAATACAACAGATTTAACACTGATACTTCATTGCCAAACCAGAAGAAGCCACTCTGCATTTTAAAAACTGTTCAGTACTGTTTGTTGTTTTTGGTTTTCATCACTTCGTAATAACAGCCAATAACAGAGGTGCTCCCCGGAAATCATCGCATGTATCTCCTCAACCCCCCCCCCCGTCCCTCCTCACTATCCTAAATGACAGGCTTTCCTTCTGAGGAAACGGGCGGAAGGCGTCTGTGGGCCCCTCCCATGATTTCTGAATTCTTGTAACCTAGACAGACGTACAGGAAGACCCCGGCCAAGTTTTACAGGAGGATCTTCCTGCGGCTCCTTCGGAAATAAGTCTCATTCCATGTAACTGCGCGCCTGTGTTGGCTCCTCGAGTTTGTGATCTTGCGCGTTCTGATTTATTCTGCATTACGCAGTGAGGTTTTCTTGCGAGTAACGTCTCTTGAAATCGAGCTGTTCCACCTGTGCCTCGTTCACTCCACGCCTCAGGTACACGTCTTATTTTGCACGCGTGGCAGCAATAAAATCAAATAAATAAAGCTTGTCGCGATAAACGCCTCTTTATACCTAGGATCTGAGAGCTGGAGACGCTTTGCCTCCTCACTCACACGCACTGCTCTCCTCTCTGCGTCTCTTTCCCTCCCCACCCCCTCCCAAATTCAGGTTTCCTACCAGCGCGCATTTCACTCCCATTGCAGAGCTGGCCGTGCAGGAGTTGGGTAAGTGGAGCTATTGCAACATATAATTTTTCCATACGTTTGCTACATAACTTGGAGGGTTTTTATTTAAAGATAGCATCAGTTGGCACACTTAGCACGAAACTCTCTGCGTCTCTTTCCCTCCCCACCCCCTCCCAAATTCAGGTTTCCTACCAGCGCGCATTTCACTCCCATTGCAGAGCTGGCCGTGCAGGAGTTGGGTAAGTGGAGCTATTGCAACATATAATTTTTCCATACGTTTGCTACATAACTTGGAGGGTTTTTATTTAAAGATAGCATCAGTTGGCACACTTAGCACGAAACCGCCTAATTACTGACGCCTCACCAGTGCCAAACTTAAAAGTATGGTGGGGGGGGGGAAGGGAAGAGTAGACA